GCTTGGAGCTAATGATAGTTACGGTATGTTTGAGATGTTCGATCTGCCCAGCCTACTGGGAACAGTGGGACCACAAGCAAACTGCGAATGTGTCCACCAGTGCTAACTCCCTTCCTGACACACAGAGGTGAGAAATGACAAAAAAAAAAAAAGATGCCTGGATTGCGTCCGTCAAAAACTCAAGGATTTACCCCCAAAAAAAACAGGTTTCCTTCCTGCTCACGCTACTCCACTGAGCCTTTGTAAAATCAACTGTGGGTCACTTGTCCGAATTTTCTTTCTGAAAAGAAGAAATGATAATACCCATTGCCCCCCCTGTCAGGCTTAGAAGTCAGGTGAGGAAAACGAGATGGTTTCATCCTCAGCAGTCCTCACTGAAACGCAGGCCGAGGAAACGAAGTTTAGGGCGGTCCACATGATCGCCAGGCTAACAAACACATGTTCGTGCTGCATTGTGGCCCCCTCTCTGTTAAGAAAAGTCAAAACTTCCAATCCAAGTTGCAATTGGTGTCTGTCTAGATCTAATATCCCCACTTAGGAGAGAGACATCTATCACTGTGCGGGCCAACAAAACCAAGTAGCCCTCACTGGATCTTTTCACAGCTCTGAGGCAAATACAGCCTTGGATGAGGTTAACATTACACAAGAAGCTGAATGGTCAGCCAGGGTGGCAGCGCACGCCTGTAATCCTACGTATTCAGGAGGAAATTGGGAGGGTTGCAGGATTACAGTCCAAGGCCAGCCTGAGTAAGTTAGCAAGACCCTCATCCCAACCAATAAACTGGACCTGAGCATGCCCAGCTATGGTCTCAGTTTTGGAGGTCCCAGGTGAAGGGGTCCAGACCCCTGTATGAAAAAATAACCAAGTAATGACAAAAAAAAAGGCTGGGGATGATGAGTCTCACAGTGGTAGAGTGCCTACCTAACTCTGAGTTCAAACCTAAGACCAGAGTTCAAATCTGACAGATTCCAGTTGTAAAAATACGTATCTTTTGGAGGCAGTCTGAAGGTAGGGTTCAAGTGGTAGAGTATGAGTAAGTGTAAGGTCCTGAGTTCAAAACTCTGATATCAGAAGAAAGAAGGAGGGAGGGAGGAGGGAAGGGGAGTGATTTTAAAACTATGTTTTACCAACTCAATAAAATTCAGAAACAGGAGGTTGGGAGGGATGGGGAGAATGAAGGAAGGGGTGACACTGATCCTTTGCACAACTACTTAAAGGTAATTTTTTAATTGTGATAATATTTTTTCACAGGGAAGCATGTGACCCTGCTTTATTCAGATATTAAAAAGAGATTCAGAAACATAAAAAACAGGATTGTTTGGCTTCTGTCACTGGGCCTTTGGGTCAGTTGCAAAGTCTGCATTTTATACAATGATTCTCAGACTTTGCATTTAGTAACTGGTCTAAAATACACACTCCATGGCTGTCGTTCAGTTCATGTGAGTCACAAAAGCTACCGTCATGACTCTCACCCAATCTGTTCCATTTGGTAATTTGTCCCTCTGCTGGCTCACCATGAGAGCTACTATATGCACCCAAAACAATGTTGTAGGATTGGGGGGGGGAGTCGTGGGGCTTGAACTCTGGGCCTGAGCTCTTTAGCTCAAAGCGAGCGCTCTACCATGTAAGCCACAGCACCAGTTCTGGTCTTTTCTGGTGATTAATTGTAGATAAGAGTCTCATGGACTTTCCTTCCCAAGCTGGCTTTGAACCATGATCCTCAGATCTCACCTCCTGAGTTGCTAGGATAACAGGCATGAGCCACCGGTGCCTGGCTAGGATTATGTTTTTAACTCTTGATTTGAAGAAAAGGAGAAGGACTATCTATTTTCTATGTCTCCACCCCAGATTTAAAGGCAGGGAGGACCCCTCCCCACTCCTTGTGTGTCTCCATCTATAACGGGCCACTCACTGCTCCATTCTTCCATCCATTAGCACCGTGTTTCCACACGCACCGATGGGTCTGGCACTGGGGACAAGTGTGTGTCTACAGATGACCTTGGCTGTCCCCTCGGTGTCCCTCCAATTACACCCTCCACAGGCACCACTCCATCACTGTGGGCAAAATTGGGACAGGGCAATGGCTGGTCCTGAGCTATGAGTGGTGTGCTATATACCTGCCATGTGCCCCCCCCCCACAGGCGATGGTATCCACTAGCAACGAGCCCTGTGAGCCTGACGCCTTCAAGTCTTGCGCCTGACCATCCTAAGCGAACTAGTTCTTTTCCAAAGAAACTGAAACACACAGACACCCAAACAAGGACCAGGGAATGATCGCTGCTCCTGGGGCTGTACTGGGGGACGGGGTGGTGGGGGGATGAGAGGTTTTCTCCTTGAGCACAGTGAGTCTGATGGCAAGAGATGAAGATGGCCCTTGGTGGGCTTGGACCTTGGTGGTGGAATTTCCGATCAGTGAGGAAGTCAGCTTGAGCTGCGTGTTGGTCTCTGCTGCATTATCTTTCATCTCATAGATTGCTTCAGCGCCTCTGACATACTCTAACACCAAAATGCAAATTACCACCCCCACCAACCTCCTCCATGCTCTCACATTGCCCTAAATTTGGACTCCCTGGGAGTCTCGAGCTGATCCTTTCAATCAATCATGTGTCATTGTCCCCCACCCGCACCCCAGAAAAGGGGTAGGAATGAGAATGACTTTGCTTTGTCAAGCTGCCCGGTTTCACGCACTGGACTTGATTTGCTGTCCAAACCCCCAAGCTCTTCAAGGCTGGATGAGCCAGAAGTACAGATCCCACCCCGGGAAGCATCCCGAGGTTTCAGGATCCACTCTCTCTGCCCAATCCCTGCTCGAGGGACCAGGGATGAGAACATGGCATGCCAGGCAGGCGCTGTCTGCCCCCCAGATCCAAATTAACCCTGAGGCCTGAGGGAAGTCACAAAACCCTCTGCCCTGACCCTCACTAGCCAAATAAGTGATTACTTGGACTCCATGCCTGCCTGAGAGCTATTAGAACTAGAAACCTCATTTAATTCACCCGGCTAAAGAAATCTTCAGAAGGGGGGCCCAGGGCTCTCCCTAGCAGGGGTTCTACTTTATTAAATATGTTAAGCAGATTTAAGTTTTAGGCTAAGGACAAATTCCTGCTCCCCAGAAACTCAGAGACCAGCCAAGAGCAGAAAGCTGGGGACAGGGCGGGTTCTTGCCCACTCTACAGGTCCTCTGCTCAGGAAGTGCCTGGGGGGGGGGAGGTCCTCTGCTCAGGAAGTGGGTGGGAGGGCTGCAGGGCTGTCCTCATTACAGATTCACAGAAACAGGGTCGTTAGTCTAATCCTGGGGTGAGCTCTGAGACGCAGGTGTTCCCCGGAGACCCACAAAGTCCAGTGAGCTCACCGAGCCAAGCACCCAGTAAGGCTGGTGGGGACCACATTGAGTAGGACCCTCGACAGGAGATGGGGTTCCTGGAGATAGGCAAAGTCCCAGGTCGATCACTGGAGCTAAAAGAGACCCCCCAGGGTCTCTAGGTCCCTCTGGATGAGCAACCACCAACTTGTGTGTAGAGACAGCTCTCCACACAGGCGTCCCCGCCTGCTGCAGGCCAGGCGAGCACCACAAACAGCGCTTTGAAACCTCGGTGGAGTCCGGCAGAGAGCCAAGCTGGCAGGAAGCGAGGCCTCGTGTATCCCCACTGCCCTTGCCTGTGTGAGACCCCAGCTCCCCTCCGGCGGCAGGTCACCTCCTCCCGCCCTCCCGCCCTCCTGCAGGTGGGCGCTCCACGAGCACCTGTGGCCAGCACGGGCCCAGGTCCTCACCCTGTGGTCGCTAGCTGGTGACCTTGAACCAGTTAGCCAGCCCACCCCTCTGAGCTTCCGTTTCCCCCCGTCAATTAGGAACAGTAATGGCTGCTTCTGCCCCCAGTGGAGGGAAGTTCACAGCACTGGGCAGGGTACTGGACACTTCAGCTATTAGCCAAATGTTCGTGTGACTTAACTACCCCTCCAGGGGTCGCCAGGCACCTGGCACATCCGCCCTCCTCCACACTGGGCTCTTGGCTCTCACCCAAGCCCCATCCCTGAGCATTCCGGGGCGCTCTACCCTCTGCCTGTGGTGTTTATGACCCAAGTTTACCCATCAGAGAGGTGAACACAATGAGCAGGCATTTTATTTCTGAAGTGGTTAATTTTACTCGAGACTGCCAAAAAAAAAATCATCCATCTGTCAAACGAATAATAAAAAAAAAAGATCAGGAAGAAAACAAAAAATCCCCAACAGTAATTAAGCACCAACCAAGAGGAAATAAAAATGAACTTGGCTCCGTGTGGAGTTGAATGGGATTGGCATTGTATAACCCCGATCCAGTCCCTCTTCACAGGAGAGAGAGGGAAGCGCTCGGAGGGAGCCAGGCTGTCCAGCAAACCTGCTCTGTAGACACACACTTGGCTGAGAGGCTGCTGGTGTGCGATGCACTTCCCTCCCATCCCTGCGCCTCACAGATCCTGACACTCAGAGTTCTTCATGGTAGCTACTACCTGCAAGGCTTTCCCAGTGCCCTGGCCAGATGCAAGTGCGGTAGGCTCACACCAAGGGACGGCAGAGGAGACCACCCCCCCCTCGCCCGGCGTCCCCTCCCCCTACTGAGGCTGGGTTCCCAGGTGGCCAGCCTGCCAACACCCAAGGAAACAGGTGAAGACCCTCTCCCTGAACACACACACACGCACACACACACGCATGCACACACACACACACACACACACACACATCCTCATGAGAGAACGAGGCAATTGATTGCTCCTGCAATCACTTCCATCCCGAATCCCAATTCAATCAGAAGCACGCAGCACACCCTCCAGCCCCTTCTCTTTCTGAAGCTCTCATCTTAAAAGTTGCAAACTTCACCCGTGTCTGGCCGGCATGCCAATGGAGAAATGTTTTCATGATGACAGGATTGATGAGCGTCAGCACCTGTGTGGACATGAGCCCGGCAGCTCTGACCCCGGCTGCTCACAGCCGCTTCCCGCTGCCCACAGACCTTTCACTCACCTCGCTCATGTTGGCCTGCACTCCGCAGCCCGGTCCCAGCTCCGCACAGACAGCACTGCTCAGGGGTGGCTGCCGGCTGGTCCTGGCTTTTCTCTTAAAAGAGCTGCGGAGTGCCGTCATGCCTGGCGCCAGCCAATGGGGTTCATTCACCTGTCTGAACGCCTGTCCCTATCTGAGAGCACAAAGAGCCACCTAGTGGACGAGCGGAAAAGCGCGTGGCAAGCCGCAGCTGTGGTTCTGCTGAGAGAAGTAAGGCCACCAAAGCCCAGCACTTGTGCCTCACGCCTGTCATTCTAGCTACCCAGGAGGCTGAGATCTGGAGGATCAAGGTTCAAGGCCAACCTGGGCAGTAAGTACATAAGACTCTGTCTTCAAAATAACCAGAGAAAAGGCAGCGGGCCAGATCATGGCTCAAGTGGTAGAGCATCAGCTAAGCAAGCAAGCTGTGAGAAAGAGTGAGAGAGAGGGAGAGAGAGAGAGAGAGAGATCACAGCTTCCAGGCACAAAATAGCCTTCTTCCCGCTGACCCCCTGGCAGACAGAGCCTGCCAGCAGGACGCTGGTGCTCAGCAGGACGTGGGGTGTCCAGCAGGTCGCAGACCCACTCTGGGCTCCCACACCCGCTGGAGCTGCACCTCCACCCCCCCCCCACAGCCACCAGGGCAGGAAGAAGACGCAGCTGGAACTCGGGTTCCCGCCCAGCCTCCTTGCTCCACCTGCCCAGCCTTCCTGCAAAGAGACTCGGCCCTATTGCTCTCCGTGCTGGAAGTCAAGCCCGCAGCCTAACCCCACTCTGGCCGTGTGTGGTGGCCATCTTGGCAGACTTCTCCCAGTGCTGGGGCCCTGGGGGATGTTTCAGGAGCCGACAGAAATCCCTGGAGGGGAGAGTCGTCAGCATCACCCTGGGGCAGCAAACTCAGCGCTCCTCACTCCCCCCACGCCCCTCGTCCCAGCATGCCTCCTCATTCCCAGCATGCCTCTGGCAGAGCAGTTACCTCCGCAGGGGCAGTGGACCTGGCCTGGGAACACAAAGCTGCTAACCCCCAGTGTGGCTACCAGGACAGGAGCACCGTGCCTCGAGTCGGGCACTCGTGGGCCCCCTGCGAGCATCTGAGCACACACACCACACCATGGCACACACACTGTCAGGTAAGCCAGGCACCAGCACCTCCACCCTCTCCCCACGGCAGCTCCAGGGTTGTCTGCTACTGCGGAGCCCCCAAACAGCACCCATCAGCCTGAGGGTGGACCACAGAGCTCCCTGGGGCTCCCTGGGGCTGAGGACAGCAAACGCCCCAGTGATTCCCTGTGGTGCCCACAAGCCATGGGTTCGAAGATCACAACTTCAAGGGGTGGTGGGAGGTGTGTGCACTCAGGTCTCACCTGCACACACACATACCCTCACATGCACACACTTAACACATTCTCCAAAGTGGGGCTGTGGCTCAACTGGCAGAGCACCAGCCTTGAGCAAAAAAGCCAATGGGAGCACATAGCCCTGAGGCCAAGCCCTGCTACTGGCCCAAAAAAGAAAGAAGAGAAGGAAAGAAAGAGAAGAAAGAGAGATAGGGAGAGAAAGAAAGAAAACATAAGGAAGGGCGCTGGTGGTCACGCCTGTAATCCTAGCTGCTCAAGAGGCTGACATCTGACGATCACAGTTTGAAACCAGTCCAGGCAGGAAAGCCCACAAGACTCTCATTTCCATTAACCACCAAAAAGCCAAAAGTAGAGCTATGGCTCAAGTGATAGAGCAATAGCCTTCAGGGGGTAAAAGGGCATAATCAGGCCCTGAGTTCAAGCCGCAAGACAGGCACACACATACAAGGAAAGAAAAAAAATTCCATCTAAGAGGGGAAGCTTGTTCCCTGCTTCTTGGGGTGTGATCTGCACGCAGGGACGGAGTTGGTGCAGGCAGCCTGTGGGTTACTGATGGGACACTGAGCTCCCATCAGACTTTAACGTCACTGCATCAAATGTACGCAGCTTCCAGACACGGGGGTGGTGAGGGGAACGCTCCTCTGCTTCCCCTCTGCTGCTTCTGTCTTCATGCTCCATGACCTCGGGTGCCCGCGGTGCAACACGGGAAAACCTCCCCTTCTCACTTGTTTAACTGTATTTCTTATTATCTTTAAGCCATTGTACAAAGAGAGTTAATTCAGCGCATCCTGAGAAGTGTCACCCCTTCCCCATCTCCCATCTCTCCCAACCCCCTCCCCTCGTGTTACCTGCCTCTGTTGCAACCTGAGTACATGGAATTGTGTGACTTTATTCACTAACCCTTCCTCTCTCTATGATCTGCCTCTTCCCTTGGACCTTCACACACACACACACACTCACACACACACACACACACTCACACACACAC